CATTACTATATGGATCAGAAACCTGGCCGCTGCGCGCCGAGGACGTCAAAAGACTTTCAGTGTTCGACCACCGATGTCCTCGGAGCATTGCCCGAATCTGGTGGGAACACCGGATCAGCAATTCTGAAGTAAGTCGAATGGTATTGGGGGGAAATAACTCAACCTCGATAGATAAACTGATCACACTGCACAGGTTGCGCTGGCTTGACCACGTGTTGCTTGGCCACGTGCTGCGTATGCCAGTCGGGACATCCAAGCTTACCAGAGAAACAGCCACAAGCCCGATCATCGTGCTGCTCTAATTGCCGCAATCACTAACCTGTGAAAGTGAATCAGACTTCTCTAGAAAATTAGCAAATATGAACCACGCTCTCGGCTAACAAACAGAAGGGAACCATACAAAAAGGAGCCAGTTACCCTGACAAGTTCTTCTCTTGATGCCGAAGAGCCTCTCCCCGGATTATGCTTCCCGGAGAAAACGGGTTATAGAAAGGCAGTTTTCGCCTGTATCGAGGAAAGATAGTTGACATATTAACAAGCGTCACGGTGCCCCTAAGATCGCTTGAAATTGTTCTCCCTCGAAAGAGAGAGGTCTTCACTCACAAAAAATGGCACTGAATGTACTACTATACATCGGAAACAGAACTGGATGTTGCCATGATGAAGGGCAGATCATCTATAGCACCAAAGGTTTTGTTGAAAACAGTTGACGACAGTCGTGAGAGATCCATATGAAACAGGACGACAGAATCAGTTGTGACACAACAAAAGAAAACGGTACAGGTGCGACAAGTGCCCTTCCCTTCTGACGTAAGCACTACTTTGTTTTCCGTACAACTCATGCTGTTGTTCAGCGTCCGGATTGAAAAACAGGTTCTGAAACAACCAGAATGACCCGTCTATGTAGTTAAATCTCTTTTCCTCAGGAAGTAAACACTCACAAACAGACCACTAACATCCTTCTACAGGGTGAGATTGCCTGTACAGTTGTCCTGAAAAAGGCTATGATCTCATCTAGTGAGGATCAGAAAGTAGGAACATGACAAACCTGACAAGGTTACAGCGGGGTAGTATGCACCCTAGAGTAAACACTCTCAGGATGTGGGTGATTCTGCCTGTCTGCAATGGTGGCTCCACTTGGAAAGGACAAACTGCAGCCAAAAAAATCTACTCACTCGTAGTTCCGGGTATCTCGACCACTGCTCTTCCCAGTACATTCGACTGAGTTGTTGAACTGGAAAGAGAAAGCATTTCGGCCAGTAAATCACAGATGGGATATAACTTAAGAGATTATAGTAACCGGAGCAGAAATTACGTTACAGAGACAAACTGAACGGACATTCGGGTGATACAGAATTTCGCTTCTGTTAACTGATTTTCGGACAGTTAGGCTAGGTGTCGAATTCCGTGTTGGGGTTAACCAATATATCAAGCGGTTTACTGACCGGTACATCAAACAAACGTGGGGTACGAAAAAAAGCTAATCTGTGATAGCCAGATGAAAACTGGTTAGTCAGTGAATCTTGACCTAAGCACGCGCGATAATGAGGTAAGATTTGTCAACCCAAGTCAAATTGTGAGTGAGCCTATTCGAAGAGTCATCCGTGCAAGAAACATCATTATTCGTGCACTAAACTATGGTCGCTACTATCCTAATAGTAGTGTGTAGTGATTCTTCCAATGACCAAACATGCCCAACCAGAGCGCACTGTAGTTGTATGGGTTCTCCAACATGTGGAGATCGGCCGAATTCACATGAACAAATACGAGGGATCGATAAATTCCTAAGAAAATCGATGCATTTCTGCCACAACTCAGTATCATTTTGTGTGGGCGTATCTCACCAGCCGACATTAGTAAGGCAAGGCACATGCGTCCATAGGGAAGGGTGTTCAGAAAGCGTTCGCTTTACGTGTGAGTAGACGGCAGACCTCGTGACTCAATAAAGTAAGAAAACCGCCGCACCCGTAAGCATTCGTCCTAACAAGGTGACGGCGAGTATGAATTTTTGTTATCCCATATCATTGAGTTCAACTACACCAGCGGACACTAACAAATCGGTCAAGATCAAGTAGCGTATTCACACAGACATTGATGAACCAACAACGGTGAATCCACCGACGAATGAAACGATCGGCCGAATCCGTCGGTCACCAAGATAGCATTGAAGGTCGATGCTCTCACCAGTCTTGAAGATTAGTGCAAGCTTACCTGAATCCGCATCAGCGAACAGCACAGTGGACGGTGCGCGAACAAGCATGTCAAGTTCCTCAATTTCTTTGATCAACTCCATATTCACGGGTGTTATTGGCGCCACAGTTCACCAGGCAATGGTTTCGAAAGCAACAGCAAGAAGCATACGGAGGCTAAAAAACAACAGTACAGCGAACTTATTTGGTTTTGCAAAAAAGAAGCCAACGGGTATGGAATTGGCACCCAACTTCGCCCATCAGTGTTCCGTTCGATGGATTTTATCACTTATATTATGTTATGCTAGAATATCGTATGGAATCCGCAGAAAGCGAATTAAATCTTGGTGGAAAAACGTAGACGGGTTCAAACACAAAAGGTATTTATGGGGTTCGGGTTGCTTTGCTGTTTATGAGCATGGCTTGATTGAACGAGGAGTCAGAAACGCAGCAGTACATATATGGACCTCTTCAGTATGGATTTCGCAGATATCAACCAACGGTCGATAACCGAAGGGTAAGCCATAGCCCGTAAATCCAGGAGTTCAACATCGGATTTAAGAGTGGCAGTTTGAGTTTCATCTGACAGCCTCGACGGACACCGTAGAAGGGAGTGCTGTTCTGGTTAAGTCTGTAAGGGGATAAAGAACATTTTCACACCACTAGAAACGAATGGGTAGTCGAGTAGAATGATTCTTCAGGCACAAACTGCAGCTAGCTGATTGTTGCTGGACTAAGGACGGGCAATCAATCTCTTAAACGCCTCCAGTAGAAGCGGGGGGCTTTGAAACCATGAAGTAAACTGTCTATAAATCTCACAGTCCATCAGCTTCAGCCACGTTAGCTTCTAACGCCGTCAAAGATGCAGCCTGGTGGTTGTGGCATGTGCGCTGATAATGTGTACATTCAGCTGTTGTACGGTCAAAGCTTGTTACCGCTGAGATATGTGAACCAATTAACAAACCCAAGCCACTCATTTGGATGTTTCAAACAGATATGACGATGGGAAATCCTGAAGGATATTATATCCCGTTAAATTATAGCCAATTAAATAAAGCCTTGTAATGAGAAGAAGAAAAAGGGCACAGTATAAATGCCACTGGAATCGGTTAGCCGCCATATAGTTCAGTGTCTCCAGCCAAGCACAGGACTCCGTCCTTGAAGATGGATAGCATGAACGACACCCAAACCTTTGGTAACGCTCTTCATTCCCTTTGTCATGTCAAACTCTGTCCACTCTAGGTTCCCAACACTTCGAATTAGGTACGGAAAGCAATCCTGTCCTCGTCAGGCGGTAAGTCACCATGTATAGTACATAGCCATGCAACCATTGCTTGCAGTGCTGGATGCACACTTTGAGTGAATTGCCCTTCGCTTGCCCAAAGACCCGTTCCCTGGTATCATCATTCTGAGTTTGTTCGCTCCGGTCGATTCCAGCTATAATTTTGAGACATCGGTGGTCAAAGACCCGAATAGATATTCTCCTCTCGAGTTGGCTAAGCCACGCAGCTGTGCAATACAGCCCAAAATGTAGTCTGACACAAGCATCCTTTGAGGCTCAAAAGCGGTGCAAATAGGGCAGCGAGATGGTTAAGGTGCAAATTTACTGACCGGAAGGTCCGTGGTTCGAACTCGACCTCCGCCTCTCAACTTCCCCTGCCTAGGCTTGGGCAACCTGGCATTATCCTAGCCCTAGGGCTTTCTTCTGGTGACATGGCATCCAGGCACTGAAAGGGTGCTACAGCTGAACGAACGCCATCCTGGACTTTGAGATCCTTGCGTTCACTTCATCTGTCACATTGCCGTCAGAGCTAACGCAACTTCCGAGATGCGTTTTGTGTTACATAACTGCCAGTTTTAGCTCTTTAGATACTTAAAGGCATGTTCAAAGGCCATAGGTCCCTCAACATAGCTTTACACTGCTTGGGTGCGGAACACAAACCGAATGACTAAAAGGCCTGGACCAGATTATCTACCAATGCCTATGATCCCAGCCTTTTTTGAACGATGACGCCTTCATATCTCAGGTCTGCGAGGTTTGCACACGAGAGTTTGAAGACCTTCAATTGTTGGCCTACCTTTTTATTAATAGCCAAATTTAAAAAAATGTTGAGTCGGCATTCTTGTCGCACACCACTGCTTGCGGGAAAGTTTTCGAAGAGTCCCCCATATACACCCACGCGCCCACAAGTATGGGAATTCTAACAGTGCATAATATTCACGAACTTCTGGGACACCCTGCCACGCAATCATGTTGAGGAAAACTAACCGGTCAACAGAATCAAACACACTCACAATCAAGACACGCTAAAGCTGCAATCAGGTGGGAGGCTAGCAGCAGTTAGACCGCGGAGATTGCATGGGCCTCTGTTCCCACCAAGTTGATTTCACCTTTGTTGTGTAGACCAAGGAAGTAGTGGCCCAACAGCGCGTCACCACAGATTGCGCAACACCAATGATTCGATTTTTTGTAACCGATAAATATGTAGTAGTAGTCGCTAGCTGTACACGACAGATACATTAGTGCCAAGGAAAAATTCTACGCTAGATTAAGGCTTTCCTATCACGCAGAACATTAGTGGTGAAAGACAGCTTAACCTGCTCCGCTTCTGCACCGGTCTCCGCCGGAATTCCCCAAGGCTCCCTCTTATAACTCATCTCTGATCTACATCAACGACCTTCCGTATGTGGTTTCAAGTCCCGTCTACTTTTTGCGGGCCACACACTCTCCAAATGCATGTGGACGCCGTTAGGCGGCCACTTGACTGGCACCTTTCTCTGAATGAAGAAAGATGCGCCTAGTTCGTTCGGAGACTCAGTGAACGCCTCTATCGCGCATGGTTTCCAGATACCCTATGGAGTCTATCTTAAACTACTTCTTCAATACACCAACAAAAGTATCTACCCAGAACGGGACCTAAATCTCAAAAAGCGAGCCAAACGAGCCGCTGCGAAGATGGTTCCAGACCCCAAATCCGTTGATAATGAAACGTCTCGAGATGCTTGGTTTTCTTCGTTTGACTTCCGTCGCCTGCTAGAGGACCTGGTACTTACATATGCCCTGCTTGAAAAAGGTTTGGCCGACTAGATTTCCACCTTTAGCTCATCTATAAGAATATGGTAAGATTTTCAACCCCCACAGCACGCACTTCTATTAGATAACAGTTCTTATGTTGAGTGCTTGATGTGTAGAATAATCTCCCTCTGAAGGTGGTACGCGCTGCACCCAGAACCCAGTTCATAGCATTTTTGATTCCTCCGACTGACAAGCCTACTACTCAGCCATGAAAGCTTAAACAGCGGCGCTGCACGCTTTTTTCGGTTGTGCTTTTTGGGTGAACGGAAGCGCTGAACGACAAGCACCAACCGCAACCTGGAAGCCTGGACAGACAAAGTCGTCCTCCAACGGCATGCTGGCCAAGAACTAAAATCGATCACATTGCCATTAGCTACTGATGGCGCAGATCAATAACTGATTGCTGGTCGTTTTGGAACACATTTGTGGATTCTGACTACGCACTCGTCCAGAGTCGCTTCTCTCTACGTTTTCCAGGACCAGGGTGCGGAAAAATCGCCTGGTAACTGAAAGAGTTACAGATCCGGATGTTAGACGAATTTATCAGAATCGCCTTTTAGAATCTCTTCCAAAGGGTTTACTATCAGATTTGAATTCATTCTGGGACAAGATCACCACCTCTTCGCATAGTGCTAGGAGTTTCTCTTGTGGTACAGCGCTACCAGGCTCACGCTATCAGACCGAACAGTGGCACTGCTTAAATCTCGGAGAAATATCTCAACCAGTTCTGAAAAGAGCGTGACAAGGCGAATTAGCAGACCTCAAGAGCATGTAAACAGACCGTGAAGTCCCGTGGAAGCAGAGCCAAAGGAATTCAAAGGTCCAGGTAGCTATTAATGCCCGAAGACTATCTCAGTAAACGCAGAACCCTGAAAGGTGAACGTAGAAGACACCACGGCCTCGGGACTTGTGACTGCATATGTTCTTTCAAGCGCTACCGAGCTTCTGGCCCCGATGACCTCCCACCCTGGTTGTTCAAAGACGGAGGTGAAATCCCCAGTCAGCACTTGTTTGATCGTTTGTCTGCATTTGGGTAAAGGAAACTGTCTCACATAACCGGGGGAAGTCAGTGATAGTGTGCTAATCCGGTCGCAACGAGAGTGTTGGCGTCCCTGGTGCTTTGTCGCCTTGCGGTGGCTCGTGAAACGCTGACTCCGGAGCAGCAAGCGCGATTCCGACCTGGTGAGGATTATGTTGACCAAAGCTTCACACTCCGTCAGATGCTAGAGCGACGCTATACGTATAAGCGATCCACAATGCTAGTATCCCTGGATTTGCAAGATGCTTTCGACTCAGTTGACCGGTCTATTCTCCTTGACACACCTGTCCATCAAGGAATGTCCCGGAAGTTGGTAAACATATGTTTCTCGTATTCTCAGACTTTCGGGCGTGTGAGAGTATACGGACAGCCCTCCAAAAAGCGGTATCCGTCAGGGGTGGTCACACTCTCCACTTTTATTTAATTTCGTGATCGATGAGAAAATGGGACAAGCGCTGAAAGGTCTTCAAAACCCCGGTGTTTAAATCGTACAAAAATCGTTAAGCTGTCGTACCCTTCCGGTTCCTAACTATCATGTCACCAGGAGGAAGCCTCCGGCGAAAATCTTGTGGAACTGGCATATGCAAACGATATTGTTCTCATCTTCGAAGAGAAGGAGCAGGTGTTTCGGATGAACTGACCCACGTCGTCCAGCCCTGTGATATGCAGTTCACAACCACAAAGCGTACGGTCACACTCCTGGACATGCAGTCACTTACAAACTAGGGGGAGGCACTTGAAGTTGTGGAGCATTTTACTTATCTTGGAAGTTGTATTAGTTCTGATTGTAGTGTGACAGACGAGGTCCATGCACGAATCTGCAAGGCTCGAGTCGCGTTTCTAAAGTGAGACACCTAGGGCGTCAAAGCGGTATATCCCTGAATCTCAAGGTACGTGTGCATCAGGCTTCAGTGTGAGCTGTTTTGCTGTATGGCTGAGACTTGGCCTGTTCGAGCAGTGAAGATGAGACGTCTTCAGACGTTTGGTAACCCTTGTCTCAGGATCACAGCTCGTGTGA